GGCACAACAGCAGCAACTTCCTTAACCGTTAATAACTAGTAATTATTTGACACAGGGCTGACATCTAAAAAGTAAAAATGTCAAATATGGCAGCAGATAACCTGGTATAAATGAGAGCATATTTTATAATCTCCAAAGTTTCTGTGGTTGGATAAATTCTTACACATGGTTATAATTTAGTGTTCAGGAAATCAGGAAATTTTAAACTAATAAAACAGTTTTGGCAGCAGAACAAGGGGTCGTTTGCTGCTCATAAGTCCTAATTAATCACTTGGATTACTAACTGTATACTTCATGAAAGTACAATTTCTTCACATTCAAGTACAAAGTGGCTCCTGTAAGCTATTTAAAGGACCAGTTCACTGAAATTACAACAACAACTGTACAAATATTCCCGTGGATAGGCCTTCTCTCCATGTACTTAGTTCTGATGGTGTTTCAAAGAAACTTTCTTTTCCATGGATTGTGTTCATTCCACAACCAGAGTAATTCTGCAAACCCTATACTCCATGCCTAACAATGTGTTTGCGATAGACTAGCATACACTGTTACAAGCACTAGGCTTTTGAAATGTCTCCATGTGTGTAGATGAAAATGTAATGTCAACCATAAATGGAGGTGGAAGCAAGCAAACCTGTAATGATAACGGCCTGCCAGCTAAAACAGCTACAAAGTCCTCACTGTTCAGCTACTATCACTAACAGATTACTTTTGTCATAATAATTGAGACAAGTTTGTGTCCAGCAGACTTGAGTTTCAACAACAACAGAGCAGTTGTCCAAGGTATGCAGCAGTGCAGCCCTGTCAGCCTGCAGAGCCCAGAGATGAATGAAAAGCATAACAGAAAGAGAACGCTACAACACAGTGAAACCTGGCACTGTGGCAAAACGCACAACAGCTGATTTGGTTTAGTTCTGTGTGACAGGATGCTTCATGTGAAAGCAATCTGTGAAATGTAAGTGTGCCTTTCAAAGTATGCGAGCTGTGCGTTTTCTCTCTGCCAGAGATGCATTGGATCACTCCTCAAGCACTCCCATGCCTGGCCTATTCTTAGCCTGTAGGGCAATCACCCGACTGGAAAAGACTCGCTCCAGAGAAAGAGGGGGTCTTATTTTATCTGTGATGTTGCCCCGAGAGCAACAAGACGTCACCCTCACATGTCAAGATGCTTAGTGGTGCAGCTCGTGCCTCATGGTGGCAGTGATCCAGATGCCTTTGGAGATCTACTAAAGCCGACTTTGACATTTGAGATGATAAGGACACACATACACACTGTCATATCCTCTAACAGCCACTTTAAGATAGTGCCCAGACATGATGTAGTGCTGTGAACCAGCATCTGTGGAGATACATACTGTGGGGTACTGTATCCATTGTCACATCTCTAATGAAAGCTGTTTGTTTAATTCTTTAAAATTAGTATGTAATATTCAAAGAAAGTGTGTGTTTAGATAATTGATAGCAGCTGTTGCAAGGTCAAGCACAGGGCTCACCTGAATCAGAGAATGATTGCAGACTAATAAACTTCTGAGCGGAGCAACTAAAAGAGCTCATGTCAAGCTCGTGTCTCCTCACATCATTAATAATAATTACACATTCATTATATGCTTAATCTCATTGCTGGAATGGTACATTTTGCTCTGGTATTGTGTCACATATATTTACAAGGTACTGTGAAGACTTACAGTGCGTGTACATTAGAATGCCAGTATTTTAAAGCTTTAAAGCAGGCAGATAGGGGCTTTTCCTGCATCTTTTTTTGTCTGTTGTTAATGTGACACTTGGACCAGAATAGATATTAGTGTGATCATTTGATCTTAATCAGCAGCTAAGTCAAGGCTTTGTGCCAGAGCTTACTTTCACACGACAGACATTAGTCTTTGAAAGCACAGATGAATTTTTAAACAACATTCCTGGCCTTCTTGTTTACAGACACACGTTCCAATGCCTTTATCTCAATATAGGTTATGTGTCACAGTGTTTTCCTTTGGTAGTCTTGCCAGAAGACAGATGTATAATATTTGCAAATGTATTTGCAAATGTCTGCACCAGACTCTTTGTATTGGACATCATTTGTTTCCTGAAAAAATGCACAGCATGATGGTGGATAGTCAAAGGGTTTTGCAGCAGATCTGCAAATTTGGATGCATTTTGCATCCTTTTTCCTTCTGTAATTTACAGCATTTTTAAATCCCTGATGGTTACTGTGTTTGAAAGCTGTCACTTTGAATAATTACAAGTAATTGGTAACCCACATAATATACCGTTATATCTCTTCCCATAATTAGACAAAACAACATAGTTGTCAAACAATAGCATCCAACAAACAAGCAGTCAGACAGGATTAGTTAAAGCTCGTGTGAACTGAATGGACAGAAATATGTGCATCCTTTGTTATTCTGTTTAGCTTGAATTTACTAGAACTGAAATGCAGCAGCCAGATTGTACAGGAACTGAGTGAGTGACTTTTTAAGCGGTCAGTGGTTGTGGAAATAGATTTGTGTGTGTTTTTAAAGCTTTAAGTAAGTACTAGTGTCTGGGAATGCAAAGCACATGTGTTGGGCCAACAGTCAGCTGGGTGGTGTGTTGCCCTGATGGTCCATTCATTTCACGCTATGACGTGAGATGAGCAGAGATGAGGTGATGGATACCAGGGAAATTATGTAATTGTACAGGCTTGCATGATATTGGCATGATTTTTGTTTATTTATTTATTAGAGTGACTCATCTGCCAAAGGCCAGGTGCTGAAAATGACCAAATATCAGTTACTCGGTCTGCATTTCAAACTAGTCATCTAAACCTAATCATTCAAAACCAGCTTGCAGTGCAAATGCCATGCTTCACTTGATTTTATGTACAGTGGGAATTACGTATCTTCTTCTATTTTAATGCATGACACATGTTGATGTTAAATATTTGAAATGTACCATCACTTATTAATGTGCTTACGGAGGCCTATAATCCACTGGAGAATTACAGCATCTTTTAGCTCATTGTTTTGTTGTTACAGGGTTTGTCAGTCTTATTTTATCCCAGGCTGTAGAAGACGGGTCTTTCCAGGAAAAAAAAATGTCTGAAGTACTTGTTAAACAAGTTAGCATCAAAAAAGATGAACAGGGCTGGATAGTGAACAGAATATTCAGATACTGGCAGAGATCAAAGTACTAATATGAGAGCAGCTCCAGAGAACTGCTGCTCAATGAACAGTTTATCTTTTTCAGACCATTCTCTTTATAATGTAGAGATGGTTGTGTTGGAAAAACCCCAGTAGATCATCAGTTTTTGCAATACTCTGACCAGCCTATCTGGCACCATGTTCAGAGACACCTGAGTCATCAGTCTTCCCCATTCTGATGTTTACTTTGACCTCTGGCACGTCATTTTGACGATGTTAACATGACTACATGCAGTGAGTTGTTAGTTGTTAGTGTCAGATATTTGTTTTAATGACTTTTGTAACTAAAAGAGTGGCAAGTGAGTGTTTAATAACTATAATAATTGAAGAATGTTGATGATTTGTGATACTCGTCTTGGGCTCTAGCCTTTACCATGAATGGAATTCCAACCCAAGATTTAGTTCCTATTCCAAAGTACAATTTTCTTTACCAGCACTGCCTTTGACAGCACTGTAGAGCTTTGGCTAAGCTACACTGCCAGTAGTAATATGACCTTCCACAGACACAGGAGTTGTGAATCTAATTTGATGGCTCACTCTCAGTGACGCTCAGGGATCCATTAACAGTCAACTCTTTGCCTTTTATTTCCCTGTCTGTCTGCCATACATAACTAAAACCATCGAACTACATTTAAAGTTGTTTCTGGCATGCTCTAAAAAACATATGTGTGTGCTCTGGTTCATTATGTTTAAAAGGTTGCTACAGAAGATCAGCAAGTCTGCTTTATGGAGCAGCCTCTCTTTAGAGGAAGAAAACCCATAAAGTGCAAACTACACAGAGCAGCAGCTTCAAAAGTCACAAAGTCTTCACAGTAAATATGGAGGCAGATAATATTTGTCTCCACAAGGTGCTATACTGCTCCAGAGCTGAGATACTGAGACATTAAAATTTTCTCACCTTAGAAACTGAAGCTGAAATAGGTGTTGATGAGGTTCAGTGTCACATCAGTGTCTTCCAGTAAATAATCAGGGACGTGCTTAAATATCTTGCTTAAGACCACTTTACAGTTTCATCTTGTTTGTCAGTGATTGTGCAGATTAAGTACCTTTATTGGTGCAGCTCAGAGATGAGGTTTATTTTTATGTGTGTAGACTGAGTAAGAAACTGTGTACAAAAGGTGAAACACATTAAAAAAAAGCCTAGTGTGAAGTACAGCACTTTCCGACGTTATCTGAGCACTCAAAGCGCTTTACACAACTTACCTCATTCACCCAGAGCCTGTACTTCTTTACTTAAGTAAAACTGAAAACATTTTTAACACTAATATCTATACTTCGTTACAGAATGTCTGCACTTTTGCCACCTCTGCGACTAACACCTTGCCTGAGAAGTCTGTATAGAAATATCACTATCTATGCATACTCAAAGGTGCATCAGGAAAAAAAAAGGGTTTTGACTATAAACCTGTAAATTTGTAAATGTGTTCTCAGTGTCTGAGAAGCAGCTATGTACAGTGAGCGTTACGAGACTTGAATCTGATTTCTAGTGTTCTCAGTGGTCAGTTACCCTTCCTGATTTCAACCATATTGCACACAGGGAGCAACCAGATCCATACACATCCTGTTTTTGGTAGTACCTCAATTTTAATGTTCCACAATCAATTCATGTACTGACTATGCATACTCTTTCTCTTCTGTCTCTACTCTCAACAATCAGATTATCAGAGGAAATGCTCATTAAACTGCATGTTTTTACTAATTTTAACCTTTTACTAAAGAACTGGTGGTGAAAGGCTTTTGTTTGTTTGTTTTTTAACCAATGCTCACATGTTTTTCCCTTTTGTTTTTTTTAATGCTACTCCTTTATAACTATGTCACCTACAGGCCCTTAACAAGAAGGAACACAGAGGCTGCGACAGCCCTGATGCTGACGCATCCTATGTCCTCACTCCTAATACTGAAGAAAAATACAAGAAGATTAATGAAGAGTTTGACAACATGATGAAGACTCATAAAATTGTAAGTTGCGTTGTTTGTTTTTTTTGTTGGTTTTCAACATTTTGTTTAGTGACTGTTCCCACCCCCATTTTCTCTGTAGGGTCATTAATTAAGAACCTTCCAGTCATATATCCTCCATCCACAGTCTGTGGTGATAATATGTCTGGTCATGCTCACAGACACAAAGATGAAGACAATACAACTGATAAAAGACAATCGCATTTTACCAGTTCATGTATTTCATTTTAATGCTGATTGGCTCTTTTTGTCTCTTGCTGCCTTCTTAGTCCACAGGCCAGCAGCAGCAGCACTTCATGCATGTAGCACCAGGCAGCATGGCCTACAGTCACAGTGGAGGAGGAGGGGCAACTTCCCAGGCACTAGCTGCAGCCACAGCAGCTTTGGCTGACGGTGGTATCCTCTCCTCACCTCACTCGCACCTCCACAGAAACATAAACTCTTCACAAAGACCCCCGAGTGCTGGAAGTGAGTAATATGAACTTTGTGTTCTTCTTTGGTAACTAAAATTACTGTTAAACTGCACACTGAGCCGATGACAATAACTCAGAGGAGACATGAAAATGAATGTGTGCAAGGATGTTCAGATAAGCCTTAGAATTATGAGTAGAAGAGAGACTATGTAGAAAACTATGTATTTTAATTAGACAGTATAGTAGTTTTTAATAGAGATGCAGGAGATGAGCCATGCAAACATTCTGCGCAGGAGGAATTACTGATTTCCATTGTATTTATTTATTTTTTAACATTGATTTGAAGACAGCGCATCTGATAAAAACAACAGTTTGACTGTTATTGTACAGAAAAAGCTCCTGCTGGGGAAAATACATTCAAGCAGATAGAAAGTGAACGATCTAAAGCAATCTTACTTAAAGCTGCAGTCTTATTTCAAATCTTATTAATAAGATAAAAAGATGGATGCATGCAGAGTGGTTCTTAGTGATTGCAGAACATTAAATGCGAGAAAAATGTAATAACGAATCCTAACGAGTGTGTTGTGTTTATCCTCAGGTGGCCTGCAGGGCAGTTCCGAGCTGGCTCTGCAAAATGGATCTGGACCGACTGGTATGTATCCAACAGGAGTTTAACAAACATGCTCTGACATGTATACTACATACGCACAAACACAACTCCCTGCATATGGAGCAGTCTTTGCAAGCTTGTTTTGCTTGTGATCCCATGTGAGCAGCTGCATGTGTTAACTGTGTGTGATCTGTTTGAACAAATAGTTATTTGTTTTCTTGATTTTTTTTTTTCTAGAGGCCTTAAGGGATTAAAATTAGCCAATAAATTACGAAAGAAGGAAATATAAGAAAGAGGTTCCACAGAAATAATCTGATAATTAGTTCATGGCTCCTCTGAGGTTCTGTTAGCGCTTCTTAAAATAGTGGGAGTTGATGTAAGATGGTGATGGATTTGCTATTGGTCAGCTAAGGCCAGTGGATGTGGGATGTGTTCTTCCAGGAGCCTGGCTGCACCTCAGTTTCATCCCTCCTGGTTTTTGTTGCTGCTCTTCTGCCCTTATGCTTTGGTCCACAACCCTTTCTACAAACTGTCTTTGCATAATCCCCCTCCTGCCATGTCCGTGCTCTCCTTCTCAGGAACACTGCCATTATGTAATGCCAAGAGAGAGAAAATATGAATTATTCATGATTATCTCCTGTATAATATATAGCTGTACTTTCTCCAGTCTGCATGCAGAACTTGGCTGTGGACATGTTGATTTAATGGATCTAATACATGAGACTGTAATACCCCACTCCATTTTCAAGTGCATTCCAAAGCTCTAAATATTTAAAACTTGTGCTATATGCATGATGCTTTCCATTAACAAAAAAATATCCTTTGCAAAATTCTTACAAAAAGTAGCTAGAATCAGCACTTAAGTGAAAGTTGGAATTGAATTACCATCACTTCTTAACATCCTCCACACGTCTGTATTTAGTGAATGGATTTGGAAAGATCATACCATCAAAATCTCCTCCTCCTCCTCCACCTCATGGGAACAGCATGGTCCCTACCAGCCGCAAGACAGACCTCCGGGTCCTCATCCCCCACTCCAAAGGAATGATGCAAACACTGGTAAGTGTGTTTTCTTTTATATTTATAACCAAAACAAAAAAGCCTTTATAATGAGTAATATTCTTAAAAATGTTACCTAAAGCTTTATGTATTTATTTAGGTCCAATACAGAACAGCAATCAAGCTTGTAACATGTGATGTAGTTTTAGTTTTGACTGGAACTAGGAAGAGTCCTCTAGCTGCTGACAGCTCTATAAAACCATGAACCTTTGATTCCTGATCTGGATTTTATTAAGAATCAGAACAGTACATTGTGTTTTCTAAGCCTGTGGGATGTTGGAGTCAGGCATGAACAGGGTAAATATATGACACAGATTACCACAGAGTGGGCCAACAACTTTTGAGAACAATTGGTTTGACACTATTTGGGGCAGATGGTTGGTGGTTTTACAGATGAAATCATAGTTCCTTTGAAGAACGGACAATACTGGCAAAAGCTTGCATGCCTCATTTGACCGACTTCACTGCTACTTCTTTATAGTCCCTTCCAGTAAACTCAACAAGATTTAGTCTTATTGTGAACTAACACTCTTTTGATGACATTTAAGGTTCCCGTAATCTCTTTAAAACACACGTGGATGTGCAGAATCTATAGGCAAGGTGCAAAGTTCTGTTTGTGGTCCACTTCTAGTCAGATTTTTTTTTTTGAAAACGCTAGGATTTAACCAGTAGCAGTAGGTTTTAGGTAAAATTTCTGTGTGGAGAGTAAAAGGGGAGTGCCACCTTAGAAAGCCCACTGGCTACGCCAGAAGTTGTGAAAGATCGCCCATTATACTCAGAGGCTGAGTCAACAGACTAGCCTGAAGGGTTTCCAGACTGAAGTTTGTCACACATTTGACTAAATGCATATATATCTCATCATAAAATCTATGACCCAAATTGGCATTCACACTAAATAGAAGCTTAAACTAACACAAAAAAGAATGTAAAAGCTTATTAGTTCAAATTTTGCCCAAAAGTTTTGGAAAACAACAGCCTGTTCATCTGAAAAGTCCGACAGTTCGACTAAGTTTCCAAGTCATATGCCTCTTTGTGGGGGCAGTGCACATTCTTTATGGAAGCTCAAGTCTTGTTTAGAACAGAAATGCAGAAATAATATCAAGTGCGAAAAATTGGGCATAAAAAAGTGCTTTAAAAGCTGCCTGGTACACACAGTTACGGTTCTTATATACATGACATCAGAGCACCAGTTCATGGTTGTGTAAGATGTCTTGGAAGACTGTAGAAGGAGTCTGTTTTCCTTTCTTAAGATTCCACATTCTGCAGCTGTGCCGGGTCGCTGAAGTTATTGATTTGCCCTTAACTCTCCTACTGTTGCCCTTGCCTCCCACACTGTGCTCAGACATGATGTAACAATTAGTAAACAATGGAAACTGACACTCTTTTCTTTGTATTTTTCTTTTTATGGTGACCGACCAGCTCCATTATTCTACTGGTTATGGTTTCCAGGGGATTTTTACATATTGCAGAAGGATATGAGTTTCTATTTTCTGGTGTTCTAGAAATTAATGTCAAGGTCTTTTCATAGAAAAAGGAAGAGTTTCACATATGTGCGATATAAGAAAAGAATATCCAGACTATTTAGAAATGAATAGTAAAATAAATCTATATTAAATATAATTTAGATTACAAATTCAGAGCACATTATAGGTAGCTTTTAAAGTTTTAATAGCGATGTTTAATGTCACTGAAATTCAGAGTGACTAAATTTCTTTTGGAGAAGTGATGAATCAGCAGCCATTCATTCCACATTAAGTAATCATAATTCCTCATCATTCTGTTGATCTTATCTGTTTGTCAATTATCGGTGACTGGGTGACAAATAATTTGTTGTTGTCATGTTTGCAGGAAACAGAATCTGGCAGAGTCTAGTTTTCAGGAACTGTGCTGAATGGGTTTGCAGTCGTTTGAAGCTGGAACACTTATAAAATCTGAACCATGATACGGCTAATGCCTCCACCCTGTTTAAACCAACAGAAGAAGCCACTCATATTTTTCTTTCTGCTTTTCATTCACTCCAGCAAAAGATGTTGTGTTGTGGTCTCACAACTCCTCCTCAGTGTGATCATTTTGAAACTGCCTTTCACTTCCTCCTGTATGCCTGTGTGCACATGTTAGTGTAAGCGGCATGCTTTGTTTAGTGTGTTTTGCACAAACAGGCGAAAACAACAAAGCAAAAACAACTGAGGAGGTCTGCATTTCTTAACAGGATGTCTGTGTCTACTACTCACTACCATGATAGCTTTAACTTGGATTCTGTAGTGCATTATCTGTAGTCCACAAATGCAAGGACACCATAGAAAACACAGGGAATGAGACATGTATGGGTTGGTTAACCCATTGTTTTTATGTTTGCTGAGCAATGAATGACCTGGTTCAGGGTGACGTGATTGAAAGATGAACGAAAAACAACTCCTAAATTCAGTGTGATAAGTTGAGTTCATGAGCCACCTGTTCTGAACCGATAGGCTATTTTAGGACAATGAATAATTAAGAATGAATTACCTGCTGCTATTCAGTTGATATTTCAGTTGTGTGTTTTCTAAAAGCAGACAGCCGAATAAATTGCACTGATATCGCTTTTTGGAAAAGAAGAGGATTTCATGTCATTAAAGGAAACTGACTGATAAATTAGACTATCAAGTCTTGGGTTAAACATAAACATTCAAAAAGTACATTTTTTAAACTAAACTGCAGTTTCTGAATAGTTAGTGGATTTCTGTTAGACTTCTGTCTTTACAAAACATTCAGTTTTGTTGAGAAGAATGCAAATCCTTGTTCAATTCATGTGCAACTTCTGCTAGCACTATGGGAAGTGTAGGAAATTCAAAACTATATATTTTGAACTGATTAATGGTTTTTTTGTTTTGTTTTTAAAACAGGGGGTGTGAGCTTATACTGACATCTTGTGGTTGAAATGGGGCATTACAAGTCTAGTTCTAGCGAACACTATAATTGCGATCTAAGCACAAAAAGCAACAAACTAAGAGAAGAGTAACATTTAATGAGTGAACTTAGTGACTTTATGTCTTTGTTTATTATTTGTTTTCAGAATAACCAAAGGATGAGTAGCAGTCAGTCCAGTCAGCCTCTTTCCACACCAGTTGTCTCTATCACCACACCCAGTCTACCCCATCAGAGTCTGGTCTATGCTGGCATCGGCTCGGCCTACAACGGTACAAGTTCTTTTTACTATTCGTGCTGTGTTTCTGTAGTTACCTTAGCCCTGCTGACCTCAATATTTTACAGTATGCCCCCCAAAAAATCAAATAAGAAAACAGTGTACATTGCGGTTTGTTTTAATTGGTTAATGGAATTGCTGAAGTAATTAGGTGGTGTTAAATTTCAGCTCTTTTAGACAGTTTATAATGGTATGACCAACTGTATCAGGGCAATTTTTAAAAGAATTTCCTCTATTTTTGTGTGTATTCCATTCATTTAACATAAACACTGTTAGATCTTTAAAATAAAAATAACATAAAGCAACAGCAGCCTGAAAAAATACAAAATGCTAGATTTAAATGCTACTTGGATGGAAGTGAAAAGGTGAATGTGAAAAAATGAATTGCTCCCTGGGCCTAATAGCTTGCCAAACTGCCAGCTTTAGCAGCAGTAGCTGCAACCACATACTTTTGATATCTAGAGATCAGTGCCTGGCATTCATGGTGGCAATTTGAACCCCTCTTCTATCCAGAAATGCTTTAGTTCAGTCACACTGGAAGGTTTTCAAGCTTATTAAGCAGCTTGAAAAAAAAATAACTTTTTTGTTTTAGTTTTAGCCTGAATTGTTTCTAATAGTTCTTAATTGTAAGGAATTCCCTGAAAAAATAACAAACTGCAGCTGTGAGATTTCATAACGATATGGGATGGAATACAAGAGTAAAGGCTGCGAATATAGGTAAAATGAAAATGACTCAGGTGTTTGGATGTAAAGGAAAAGCCTTACTAACAACAACAAAAGTCTCCGCGAGTATCCACAAATTGCAGTTAGCATCAACTTCTATCAAACAAGAGATGGGTAATTGTTTCACATGGGGCCTTTTTGCTCATTGTGGTCAAGTGGAACAAAACTACAACCTTAAACCTTGCCAAGGAAAATGAAAAGAAGTCTTATGAACACTGGCAGGACATTCTCTGGTTAAATAAAACCATTTTAGTCTAGATCAGATTTTATACAGTGTGTGTGTGTGTGTGTGTGTTTTTTTTGTTTTTTTATGTTGACCTGGCCAGGACTACTACACTGGCTGCACAGTGGTAACTGTGAATCATGGATGTGTGAGTGTGCTAATCCATGGCAACATGAGTGCAAAAGGTCAGCCACTGAGCACTGCCGTTATGGGCTGTGTCTTTCTCCCATATCCCCTTCAACTGAGTATAGCTGGTTTATTCTCCTGCCTTCTATCTCTCTGAAATAAACCAAACCACTGTCCAGGATGAGACAACAAACATCAACAACAACATGGCCACAACTGACCGTGTGTTTAGTTAATACCTTAGGCAGCAGAAACCCGAGAAAGAAGAGGTGCAAGGAGACAAACCATCATGGGAGGATAGGCCCGTGCACGGTTTGCAGCAGATAGAAGGAGTGGCTTACATTCAGAAATCCTACCAGTGTCTGGACAAAGCTGGATTGAAAGACATCACAGAGGCACTAATCATGGCAGCACAGGAACAAGCTCTAAGTACAAGATCCATAGATGCTGTGGTCTACCACACCAGACAAGGCCCCAGGTGCAGACTGTGTAAAGATTCCCCTTAAGACAACCAAGCACATAACAGCCCTGCCTTCTAGCAAGGCAGATGAAATCCCACTGTTAGTTGGAAATTACTTTTTTTCTGGCCTGAAATTTTCTTTAACATTTAAATTTTTTTTCAAAGCACTCTATCCAGTCTGTATTCAGTTATATTAATAAAAAAAAACACCCTGAAATAGCTAATTAAAGTTAGTTAACTAACTAAAAACACTGTGATCGTTGCCAAATGATATAGTATTGAAATATTTTTCTAATGCTACACAACAGAGTTCTCTGTGTTGTTGTGTACTATAAGTATTTTCAAACACAATGATTTAATCCAGTCATCAACAAAATACCAACTTTCAAAGCCTCTCAGCTACCTTGTGTCACAAAACTGAGTATAGAGGCCTCCGTGCATGTGGGCAAATACAGGGCTCTAGTGGGTGAGTTCTGGTTTCACTTTTACAAATTTTCAGCACATTACTAAAAGTGAAATGGTTTCAGGTAGCTTAGCAGCTCATAACAAGAATGTAAGAGAAGTTGTGGTGCAGCGTTTATACTGTATTCAAGTGTTGTTAAAAAAGGTAATGTTTGACTTTTTATAGAAGTGTAATGCTTTTTGATCGGCATGATGTGCATGTAGTGTATGAATGTGAGAGTGAATGAATAGTGGTATTGTAAAGCGCTTTGAGGGGTCCCGAAAAACGCTATATAAATGCAGTCCATTATTATTATTATTATTATTAGTCTCTCTCCTTCTGTCTTTGTCAGATTACTCCCTGAACAGTGGAGAGTTATCAGGCTTTAACTCTGCTGCAGGGCCCTCTCTGAGCTCAATGGCAGCATGGGAGCAACAGCAGCTGAGCTCCATGGGGTAAGAGCCTGACACAGTTAAACTGTCTCCCTTCATGATTTACAGATTAAATGTTTAACCATTTCTTTACACTGTTTTTTTTTTTTGTGCAGACATACTGTGTTGTTGACATAAAGTTAAAAATTACCTGATCATACAGTGTGCAGTAAACTGAAGTAGCGTGCACAGAGTTGGAGAAATGCAAATATGTATAAATATATACATAGATATAATATATATGATAACAGATTCCATGACATAGATAATTGCCCTAAAATATGTAATAAATAATAATTCTGGTTCAAACATCACACATTTTTGCGCTTGTGTAAGACCCTGAAGTTGTGTACTTTTGGGTGATGTATGTAATAAAAAGCTATTTTATAATCTCAACATATCTGCTATATGTTACGTCTATTAGACACATTTTACCCTAGCTATGAAATCAATCAAATTGTAAGTACAATACTGGCCTCTTAATCTGTGGTAACGTAGATGTTTAAAAGAGCTTTAAATAGAAATGCAGTTATCTCCACTTTTTACTTTAAATACATTATTATTATTATTAAATGTACTCAATAGCCACAGTTTTCAGAGAAAACGTTTCTGTTTACGGGCCGATTACAGCCATGTCACCACCAGATGGCATCTTCACTCCAGAGTCACAGCCTCAAATTTTCTCTTCCTGTGTCTGTAGGTCAGGAAGCTCCACTCTCTCCATCAACACCAATCATAACATCAACATCAAAGCTGAGCCAATCTCTCCACCCCGCGACCACCTCAGCCAGTCTGGGTACATGACCCATCCACATGTTCACCCTCATCTTCACTCCTCTGCCTCCTCATCAGCTCGAGCAGAGATGGGACGGTCCCCTTCTGACAGCGTTGGCTCCTCCTGCAGCTCTCACGAGGGCGGCAGTGACCGGGAAGAGCAGCAGCGACCTGACTTCCACTTGCTCCCTGCGAGTCGGTCAGAGGGCAGGGAGAGTCCGACAGTCAAGCGGATCCGAATGGACAGCTGGGTGACATAGAGCCTGGACCTACATCGAGAAGCTGCACCAGGGCAAAAAACAGGAAGGACACTGTTGTGCAAATGAAATGTGGTTTTTATTGACGTGTTCTGTTGAATTTTCTTTAATTTTTTTTTTTTTGCTGTTGTTTTGGTTACTCGGAATTTCTTGAGAAGGGTTGAGCAACATTCGTCTGAGCATTCTTGATTAGATAAAGCTGAAATTACAGTGGTACTTCATTTAATCTTATTTTCTTCTTTTACAAACAATTAAAGCTTTGGAGATTAAATATCTGGGTCCAAATGCAGTACAGTTACAGTAGAGTACAGTTATTTCCATTTGCAGTGCACTGTGGCGCTGGATGGAAGAGAGACAAAGCATAAAATCAAAGTTCATGAGTGGGTAAAGTTACTTGGTGTCAACCAATTCATTTCTAATCTTCTCAGGGTTTAAAACCATTAAATGAGTCCATCGTGAAAGCAATACTCCCTCCACATCATCATTTCTGTTACTCCTCTTTATAAAAACACGTATTTATATCAGCCAAAGCAGTATACTGTTTTCTATGTTGTGTGTGTTTTTATATTGTGCACAAAATTATACAATATTTCATTCAGATTTGAAATCGAAAGCCATGGACACTTGTATATGTACTACCAAAACATGTCACTATTGTTTGTACATAGTATCTTTAATATATATCACTTTTGGTGTAACTATAGCGTTTTGTCAGTGTGTTTTATCTGCCTGCCTTCACACTTTGTCTCCTGAAACTCCCATAATTTCTTAGATAAAGCTACTTTCAGCTGCTCCTTTGTTACAAGGGGTCGCCAAAGCAGGTAGGTCTGCATATTTGACTTGGCAGTGTTATGCCAGATGCCCTTCCTGGTACAAACCCAAGGGGGATTTGTGTCTCTGGCTGGAATTTAACCAGCAACCTTTTGCTTGCCAAGCAAAGTTGTTAAAGCCTACACTACAGAACCATTTGTATCCTTTCTTAGATAAATAGATAAACTGGCTTTGTGAAGAAAGCTTCGGAAACAATTCTTTAAAAAAAAAAGGTTACTGGTCGAGGAGGCGTCTGTTTGCCTTACAGCTGAAATGCAGTGGCCTGGGTTCGAGTCGGATCTCTGGAGACCTTTGCACCCTCTCCCCCTCTTTCCTGTCTACTCATCACTGTTAAACTATCAAATAAAGCCCAAAACCCCCCAAAATAAATGTGAGAAGAAGACAACTCCTCTCTAGAAAAGGTTTATTGATTAGTTAATATATATATATATATATATATATACATATATATATATATATATATATATCCCTGTAAAAAAGATTTAGGAAAATGGATGCATTATAAAGAAAGATAAAACTGCTGAAACTTTTTAAAAAGCTGCTGAACACATGCACATCAACTCCTGCTTGGCTGATGGTGTTAGGTGATAAAACACAATGTCATAGATCAGAAAACAAAGCGGAACTCTTTAGAGGAATTTGTTCTTAAATCTGTTATCGTATATATGTACCTTTGACTCCCATACCAGTGTCTTTTGATAGAGTATTTATCTGTTTTGGTCTTTATTAAATAAGTAACTTGTGCCTAATGATGGTTACACACTTAAGGCCATGTGTCTTTGTGAGATTAAGATTTTTTTTAAAAAATATACGTTGTATATATCTGAGATAACCATGGATGAAGACAGTTAATATAAATATTACTTTAATGGCACTGAATCCATACAATAAGAGACACATTGAATTCTTGTACTGAGAGAAATCTTACCTCCAGAGAGATGGGAATTTACTGAATGACTTTATGACTGAGCAGAAGATGATTAAACCTGAGAAAATGCAACATGTGGGTAAGTACAAGGTAGCGCATGTGGTGAGAAGCAAAAGCTGCAAAAGACTAACCACAGTGCTTCCACTGAATGAGAGCATGGCTGGAAAATGTAACAGCTTTGACTCTGCAATGAAAGACGGATACAAAAAAAGAGCAAAGTGAAAGTTTTGAAACACATGATGCAGGGTTTTAGAACAGGATACTGTTTCTATGTTTCTTTGACACCAGCAATAAAATAGCTACATGGACTGGTTCTTATATAGCGCTTTTCTACTCATCTGAGCACTCAAAGCGCTTTACACAACTTGTGCATTCACCCATGCATACCCATTCGCACAAGCACATTTTTCTTAGTGCATCATAGCTAACATTCACACACATTCATACTGCGATGGATGCATCGGAGAGCAATTTGGTTAGTATCTTGCCCAAGGATATTTGGCATACAGACTAGGGGAAGCCAGTCGAACCACCAACCTTCCGATCAGTAGATGACATGCTCTACCACCTGAGCTACAGCCACCCCGATATGTGTCTGGTACCTGGCTTCACGTGGCCAATGAATTGTAAATTACAATTGTGAAAGAAGCTGTGATGCTGATGGGAATGCAGCAGCGACGTGAAAACAGAAAATACAGAAAAAAGAAACTGCTCAAAAGCATTTAGGGCTGGCAGCAAGAGACATAGCAAAATCATAAACATTAGTAAAGTACTTAATAATAATGGATTACATTTATATAGCGCTTTTCGAGACCCCCAAAGCGCTTATACAATTCCACTATTCATTCGCTCTAACACACTGGTGGAGGCAAGCTACAGTTGTAGCCACAGCTGCCCTGGGGCAGACTGCCATATCGTGCCATCGGCCCCTCTGGCCATCACCAGTAGTTCTTGCCCAAGAACACAACGACCGAAACTGTCCGAGCCGGGGCTCGAACCGGCAACCTTCGATCACAAGACGAACTGCCAACTCTTGAGCCACGATCGCCCCCACTTAATGTTAATATTTCGTCTTTGTTGAATAACTACATTATGCCAATTAAATAGCAGTTGAAAGTGAGACTGTTATGACTGTGATTTTAAAAAGGTAAAACGATTCAGTTAATATGAAACGAGTAAATGAACAGAGTAGTCATATGAGAAGTGTGCAGCTTTTTTTCTTTTTAGCTCAGAGAAATCCACAATGGGCAACGACGTCAGTTACTCGGGGGTGGACGAGAGACGGATTAAATGTGCCAAGGTTAATGAGAATTATGAGAGCAAACAGATGTTTGAGGGAAGGATTAGTTTAAGATCCACAAAAAGCTGCCTAGCCAATGAGTCTATTATTTTTATTTTAATGGTGGCTATAGCCTACTGTATCGGTAAGATGAATGCATCTTCATCTGAGCATATCTGCACATACATTTTGCTGTTATCTGAAGGCATTTCAACAAATGTTTTGACACACTTAACCACAGCCATAACCACATTTTATTTGAGTGATTTCGGGGTGTGTGACACGAACAGAACGAATGTAAAATTCAATATTTTTCACTGCTGAAGACAAATACTTTAAAACAGACTGTTAGTTTGATATCACAAATGTCAGAATGTTCTGTTTGGGTATGGCAGTGATTAATCAGACCAGTTAAGTTAGCTACGGTAATACTCTACCGGAAAATACGCATTCTTTTGATAAAGTAAAATTGTAAACTTGTGAATTGAACAGCCTTTATTTTACAAAAAGTATACTGCTACTCCAGTTTTCGGATAATTATATTTGTTAAAATACTGAGTTCATAAAAAAGACCAAAGATCTATCTTTAAAAAATAAGAAAAGTAAAAAAGACATACATAGTCTACATGTTGCAGTCAACTTACAGAAATGCAGATAACCTCTGTAAAAATATGTTTCAAAATACCCATGTATTTTTTTCAGGTTATGTATATTTCATTCTCCTTTAATGTGCAGATGGACATTGCACGCGGTCCTCGGAAGAGCTTTTATTTTGAAAAGCCCATAAGCCGCTTTGTTGTGTCATAGCTGATATTTGATGCTAAAAGGGAGAGGAGGAGGAGGAAGTGTGTCAGAGCCAGAAATTGCAATCGATGTGCACAACTGTTGCTGTTTTGTAATTCCAGCTACACCGTTTAACTGAAATGAGTTGAATAAGGATAAATACCTTGGAGGTTTCCAGCAGCGGGCGGGGAAAAAAGGTAATTATGACTTTCTGTTTTTTCTTTTATTCTCTTTTCCTGGCGAGAAGCAGAAAGTTACCTGCTGGGGTCTTCGAGGTGCGGCTAGTCAGGTGAGCCTTCTTCCTGTCCGGCAACATTACTCCTGGTGGTCAGATGAGAAGTCACCTTCGAGCTGTCAGTTTGCCACGTGGGAATCTTTAGTTTATGAGTCTTTAAAGAAGGGTAACAGAGAACTCCCTTCAAGCATCTGACAATTATTAAATGTTTGTTCTTACTCACGAATTGAAACATGTTGTTACATTTCATTTTAAATGATTTTTAATAGAGAGATAACATTTTCATCAGTTCGGCATTGATATCAAGGAAGAAATGGTTTCAGTGGTACTTTTAATGAATCATGGTCACCTCCCAGTGCTCCTGCAAGACGCTGCTGGACAAGCCTCATGTTGTCAGGGTGACACGGATGGTTACATAGTGTCTTGCATGGAAAGGCTTGCATATACAATGCAGTATATGAAGAATACTGTTGTTGATGACATTTTACCAACGCTGATTGAATTTCGAAAACTTACTAGGTTCATACCGGCTTAACTGCTGTAGACCGACATACATCTTTATGGTTAGTATACATAGTAACAATACTTAAGCTTTCAGCTTTTATGTTGACTATTATATGTCTGAAATGTAGTCTACTGAATCTGTAAATGGTTTTTTTTGTCGTTTTGTCTGTATTTTCTGCAGTCACTGTCTTGCCTCATATTAAAGCATAGGAACCACAAACTGTGAAATAGACTCGTTTCAGGAAATAGCTTGTCCTGTTCAGCAAGAGACGTCCGTGATGCAGTTACTCAACACAACACATCAGCTGAAGGGAAGAAAAAAGCATTAGAGGCTTCAAAGAGCATTGATGGATGTGACCTTTTGTAACTTGCATCAGTACTTTAGAACGTATACACACAGAGGGAATGGGGGTGGTAAATTAAGGGAAACTGAAAGTGTCTTGCTAAGGGGCACCACATTCTGCAGGAAGAGGTTTAGTGCAGGTTTCGTGTTCCAAGTCTCTGGATCTCTGCTTTAAAGACTGAGCAATTTTCTTCTAAAGTAGATCTAGTATTTGTGATTAACACTGTCAATACAGTGTCTTCACTGTCATTTTAGTACAAAATCTCCCACAGGTGCTAAAATGGATTGAGATCTGACGATCTGATTTCCTCATGTCATACTCCCCAAACATTCATTGAGTTGTGTCGTGGAGTGGGGGAATTGAATTATTTCCTCAGGATAATGTTAATTAGTCAGAAATTTGGTTTGTGTTTAGGCTCCAGCTCTTATGGGAGAGGTGGATCAAAACCTTGCCAAAAAATTACCCCTACAGCGTAACAGATTATTTCCTTTATTTTGTCAGAGGTCTGTACATGACAAATATTTTAAAAATGAGAGCACAATTTCCTGTAATTTCTAAGGAGCTTGCTTTCAGGATAAGAACTTGTATGCAGAACATTTCAAAATTGACAGAAGCCTTTATTGTTTATCTGCTTCAGTAAATCATTGCCTGGTCAGATCTCTACATCTCTAATATTTAGAAGACCCATTCAGCCAGAGTACTTTATTGTTTAACAACGGATTAACCCGGGATCATTATAAAACAACATCATCAGTTATTTGTGTACTGTCGGGCTTTTCATAAAATCTGTCTTTTTTTCCTTCAAACAGTGGCGTCCTCATTTTGAAATGGGAGACAGAATGCACTGTGTGCAGTTGTGCATGATTTTCTTGCAACCACTGATGCATGTGTGAGCTTGCTTTAGCTTTTGTAATAACACTGAGTGATCCCTTTTGTATAAGAAATCATGCCAATCAGACAGGATGCCTTTCTAGTACGTACTAGTATCAAAGGATGATTTTCATACACACCTTGGCATTAGTCTTATTGCAAAGGGTTTTTTCATGGACAGTAAAAGTGCTTTCACGTACATGTACCCACTTTCAGGTTTGTTTAACAATGCGACCTTAAACCATTGCCTGTTTATTTCCTGTTTATTGCAATCTAGAACTGTTTTTTAAGCAATCTTGCTGAATGTCTCGCTATCTAATATAGTCAAAAAAGTGACTTAAAAGGAGGCTGGTGAGGAAGGTTTTGGGACATGTTTATCTGTATGATGGACAGTTGGCCTCAGCATGTCTTTGAACTGAGCTGGCTTCGTGCAAAAGCCTTCATGTGGACCCTGACTGTTCTGGCTCTAATGATGTGCTGTACAAGGATAGGCAATACAAGCTTGAACTTGGTGAGACATGGCAGGCAGAAAGAGTGGGGTTTTTTCCCATGTACTTGCTCTGTAACATTTTAGGATAGTGAAAAGAAAATGTTCAAAATGTGCATTTAGGCGTTTAATTTGCTATACTTTGTCTGTTGGAAATTCATGCAGATGAATACACAATAACTACTGAATTTGCATGTTTAAGCATAAAAAAACTAGTGAAATTAAAGAAATGACACCTCACTGTGACTATCATTAGGTAAATAATGGTTTATGTATTTCAGCCACTTCACATTTACTACTTTGCTTGAACTTTGGAGTTCCTTATTTGTGCAGTATAACTATATGGTGCCTTAAAGTGCTTGCTAGACTTTTTTTTTTTTTTTTTTTTTTAAATGCATGCAGGTGTGTCCTCCAATTACTTTCCAATCCTCTGATTAGATTTTTTTTAAATAAATAAATAAATCTCCTTTTTGTAAGCTCCATCTAATGTGTAAAGAAGGATTAGTGATTTGCCAGAGCATTAATCAAGGGCACAATGACTGCAGACTTGACCAGTATGTTTCTGATGGTGGGGAAACAGGAACCCCCCCTCCTCCCAAGTTGGTTTTTAGAGCTCACAGCTGAGCTGATCTGCAGCTAATTATCAATGAGACATCAGGTCTTCAAACTACAGTCAACGGTGACAGTGCCCATACTGTATAAATGAATCAAATAACAAAACCACCTTACTTCAAAGGTCATGATACTTACCGTGACTGTCATGAGGTAAATAATGGTTTATGTATTTCAGCCACTTCTCATTTATTACTTCATTGGAACTTTATTCTGCACAAATTAGGAACTTTAAAGTACAGTACATTATCCAATATCTTTTTATTTATTTATATATTTATTTATTTAGGAAGGGCATATTGATTCAGGACCGAGCCTTAGTTTTTTGCATCATGCGGTTAGCCTTACTTTAGTTATACATACATGTATTTTAGCCCATACAACCAACCAGCCTTCTGGATCCTGCAGGGTGGCTGTGAAATGTAAGAAAAATTCTTCAATAGTCTTCTGAGAAACTTTTCATAGTACAAAAATCCCCCCCTTTCTGATGAAGCATCTTGCCTTTCATCAGAGTCTATTCTTGCCAATGGAGAAGTGGGCCTCATCGTTTTTTAAAAAATTTCTAATGATTTGCTGTTTTCCAGTGGTAACAGTGGCTGGACTGTCAGTTGAAAGCTATGTCGTATCCTGCTCTGTTGATTGAGACCTGCTTTCTTGTCTCAGTCACATGATTATAGCTTTTTGGGGGCTTCTTTACAGCCCCAATTCCAAAAAGATGGGACACTGAAATTTATTACACGTTTAACCTGAGATAATATACTGTTTTTATTCAAACTAAGGTGGTTTTGAATTTAATGGCAACAATATATAACCTCAAAAAAAGTTGGGACAAGTATAACAAAAAAGATGTTTACAGAGGGAACTCCAAACTTTCTGGAGATTGTTAGCTGCCAAACTCAAGTATGATTTTTTTTTTTTTCTCTTTCTGCATTTTTACTGTATAAACATTTGACATGTTGTATTCTGTTGTGTATTTGGAAAAAAGTGGGTTTGTGTAAATCATTGCAGTTGTTGTGTTTTTGAAACTATACTTAATTCATGCCCTAAGTTACACTAACACCATTTTCGAGTCAAATCACATGATCAATGCCCTACATTGCAATGTTCTGCACACATGGTCTTTTTCTCCCATTACTCTTTTAAGCCCATCACGCTCTTGAAATCTCCTTTGATTCCATTAATAATTTTGCTCGCAATGAAGTTTGATCCTGAAATTAGCTGATATTCTAACTTAGGCTTTGTAGTGAAACATCCTGCCAATAAAATGCAGTGACGTGAAAGTGATGCAGGCTATCAGCCCTGTTGGCAGTCATGCACGTTAATCGGTTGGTCTGTGATGACCAATAAAGCAGTAATGGGACATATATCATTCCAGGTTCCTGTTTTTTGAAAGAGGACCATCTGGAATATTTAGTATTTAAAGTTATGATTTTTAAAAATCTTCATACATGTAGTGAATTCAAAATGTCAATTGAATTGAAAAAGTGGCTTGAAGAGTCCATATGATGTGAATTTACTGGAAAGTTACCACAGTGAGTGGCCATAATGTGATCTACCTTCCTCATATTCTGTACAGGCAGCACACTCACCAAATGGAGTATTTCTACTAGTAATGCCATGTCTGAAATGGACTGTTTCCTGCTACGTGCCATTCTGTGGCCAAAAATTTGGGCGATAATCAGACCTGATAATCCCAACTTTGGTCCCTGAGGGCAGTGGAAACAAGCTGTAAACACGAACTGACATATTGTGTATTTTCTTCTTAAAAGATTGAAATGACTGAGTTAGTTCACAGTGCGTTTCTGTCGCTCACAGCTAAGTTTATCTGTAGCTAAAGCAAAGACTTCAAACTACAGTCAACAGTGACAGCGCCTTTAGGTGTATAAATTAATCAAATGAAAAACCACCTTGCTTCAACGTCATGAAACTTGCTGTGACTATCATTAGATAAATACAGTTTTATGTATTTCAAACACTTCTCATTTACTGCTTTGTTTGAACTTTGGATTTCCCATTGTGCAATATAAAGTAGGGTATAATCTTACATTATATGGTCCCTTCAGGTGCTTGCTAGTGTGTGCCCACGTGAGACACAGATTACAATTAATCAGTCAGTTACTGTAGTTCCAGATACTCCTGATAGCATTTAGTTATGTGTCTACAGAATCAATTTCTTCCATTCCAACTTATCCAGCACAATGGGCAAGATCAAAGACCCAAAGAATGTTATGCTTTTGGCCTAATTTTCTACTAAGGCTACATGACAACTTTAACTGCATTGAGGGGCAAATGAACTGGGTCGTGTACTGTAAAATATTGGATTCAGCCAGAATACTGAAGCTCTATTGTGGGTTTTCCAGCTTGACGATGACCCAAAACATACCATGGCAATAAAGGAGAGGTTAAAGAAGAAAATTAAGGTCACTGCAGTGGCCTAGTAGCTGTGGAAATCTGTGGAGAGAGTTGCTAAGTGGCAGACAAGAAACCTTAAAGATTGAGAGTTTTTGTAAAGAGGAGTGGTCAAAATCTTTCCTGAGATGGGTGGAAACCTGGTGACCAGCATCGAGAGCAGTCTTACCACTGTGGTTGCCAACAAGAGCTTTTCCACTAAGTACTAAGCCATGTTTTGCTTGGGGATCTAATACTTAGTCATTATCAGTGACATGCAAATCAACTTTTATGTAATGTGTTTTTTTGGGAGAAGTATTTTTAGTTGATTATCTCTCTTTCTAAATTTTAAACTACCATAAAAATGAGTAATAATAATAATGGATTGGATTTATATAGCGCTTTTCTAGGCACCCAAAGCGCTTTACAATTCCACTATTCATTCACTCTCACATTCACACACTGGTGGAGGCAGCTACAGTTGTAGCCACAGCTGCCCTGGGGCAGACTGACAGAAGCGAGGCTGCCATATCGCGCCATCGGCCCCTCTGACAAGGCCCTCTGTTGGCCTTGTCTTGCCCAAGGACACAACGACCAGAACAGAGAGAACAGGGGGATCGAACTGGCAACCTTCCGGTTACAGATGAGCTTCCCAATCCCCTGAGCCATGGTCACCCACGGTCGTGCATGTTTAATTCTTTGCAAGTGAACATAAACTAAATTCAGCAGGGGATCCCATAATTATTTCCTGCACTGAAGGAAATAAAACTGATAATCTAAGTTGAGGAGAACATACGCCCACTGGTGTTGAGTAAACAGATGCACACTCAGTGATATACGTGTTGCTGAACATAAGGCAAGGGGATGCCTCTGGCAGACTTTTGACCGACAATTGAGACGCACACATGCAAATTTGCTAGAGGAAAGTAAGATGGCATGAGATCTTTTAACATACTGTGTTGATTTTTATAAATGCAAGGAGTAGAACTATTGAACGTATCACAAACACAATATATTATTTCTGAAGTTGGAGGAAGAAACCAGATGTCACACATGTCTAGAACAAATTGGGTAAGAGTCACTGACTGGGCAGTTCCAGTCTCAGTGTTTCAATTGCATGACTTAATTCTAGAGATTAGATGATCATAAATAATCTGAAGCTAAGCTTTTTGATAACATGGTGTCATGGTGTTGAGTGATTGCGATATGGAATGTAAGTGCGAACAACTGTTTCAACTTTAAACATAATATTTTGGTTCCTTGTTAGATCTAGTGTATATTGATAAGAGCAGCAAGTTTGGAATCCCTACACAAACTATAGAGCATTTCCTTAAATAGTCTGTTGGCTTTCTTCCTCTTGTGTGTGGTTTGAAAAGGGGAGAGGTGCAAGTAAAAGTCAAAAACATAATGCATATTTTTGGCCTACAAAAACATACCTCCATTATGATCACGCTCTGCTTACTACCTGTGGGAGATATACGTCCCAGCTGCTGTCAAGCTGCCATCAAGGACTCATGCTTTTCTGGTTCAATTTTCTCATAGCCAGGCAGGTGACAAACAATAAAAATGAGTTGTTGTAGTCTAATACCTGGAGAAACAACTTCAGCTAACCAGTAGGAAACATTCTTGTGGAAATGATAACCTCTTATGATATTTAACATCTTCTATTCATGTTCCATGAATATGTTTTGCTTTGCTGTCGATGCCTGAGATTACATCCTCCATAATAATATGACGTCTGCCATCTCCGCCTCTCACCCTACACTTCCCTTTACCTGCTGATAGCATGACAGGTCGTTGGCCGCAGTTGATGACAATACAAAGTGAGAAGCTGCTAAGAGGATTATCAGGTTTTGTCAGAAGCAAAGTGCTGGTAATGTTTTGTTTTTTGTTTTTTTTATATTTAATTGATCATTTAGAGCTTAAGCATGAATGACACATCACAGAATGCATTCTGTGCTTTGTCTTCCCTGTCTTTGTTTCTTCAAAAAAGCTGTAAGTTTGCAGTGGCTAACCTGTAAATGAATGACAGATGAGACACACACACACTCATTCATACAGGAACAAGCTATTAAAAAAACTATGTAGTAGCTGAAGTCGGCCCTCCAAAAGATATACAGCCGAGCTGTAATGTAAAGCTGTCAGAATAGTCTCCTTCCGGGTGAGAATAGTTGTCGTCTTCAGTTAGAGGTGTGACTATGATAGATGGGGCTTTATTTATAGTTGAAATTATTTTTGTCTACTTCCTTTTATTGCGAGAAGCATTTAAAAAATCTTGATGTGCAATATTAACCTACATCTGTAAACTGTTTTTTCTACTTTTTTTTTCTGCAGTGACTCTAATGACTAGATTGTTTTCATGAGGCTGAAAAAAGGAGTGGCAAAATTCTAAATTTACCGGTAAATGCACACCACAAAAAGTATGCCTGCTTTCTGTTCAAAGACTTGTGTATTGTTAAGGTATTGTCCTTTGACCTTTCAATTTCCCAAGAGATTTCTTCCTGATAGCAGAGAGACCTGGTCAGTGGAAGTGAGCTCATAACAATCATTTTACTGGCAAAACTGACTTTGCATGATTTGATGATTTCTTCTTTCTTTTTTTTCTTCTTCTTCTTTCTTTTTTCCCTAATGCATTATTATAATATAATGTTATAATTTTCCTTAAATGAAATAACAGACACAGATATCTGAAAAAATAAGTTGTTAAGTCACATGGAATATGACATGTAGACAAAGATGAGGCAAACAAGTAAGTGTGTGTGTGTGTGTGTGTGTGCCTGTGCCCAACTTTGTTTCTGTGCACCTGCTCATAATGTATTGTTAGAATGGGGAGCCAAGAGAGTATGGAAATTAAATCAACACAATAAATGAAACGATGAACAGATAAATGCATGAATGAAGTAATTAAAGAAAGAAGTAAGCAAAATGAACACAAGTTATAAAGGTATTGTTACTACAGTGTATTGTGTCTATTTGCATGTGTTTTTGTTAGATGCAGTGCCTTGTCTCTGCACCCATGAACAAAAGAAAACATATTAACATTATTTGTAACTCACAGCATTTGAGTAGACTAAATTTCTGTGTTAAAAAGCCCCTCTTTGTCAACATTATATTGGAGTGCACACGTGAGTTTGCATTATTAATTGCAGTTGTTCCAGCTTCCTCTTCTGTTATATAATTGCTGCAGGTTGTTTAATTTCTGGGTCACCATTATAAGCATATTTTATGGTACTAAAGGCCTCTGATAGATAATGTGTGTATTAGGGCTGCCACGATTAGTCGACTAGTCACGATTACGTCGACTATCAAAATCGTCAACGCGTTGTTTGAAGCTTTGTAAGATCACAAAAGACGCAGGAATAAGTAGTAGGATTTAAGAGTGTAATAACGGACTGAAACAGAAGATGGCAGCACTGCATGTACAAGGATGCCAGCTGCCGTTAAACCCTGAAGAAGAAGAAGCTGTGTCCCAGAATTCATAGCGCAGCCCAGCTCAGTTGTCAACAATGGCGGCAGCTAGTTCGTTTTAATATTACTCTTATTATTCTTTCTGGGTCACAAAATAAACGTTTAACATATTTTCAGGCGAGAATGTAGCTGTGTAAACCTGAAATATCTGCTCAGTTTATCAAGACACCACATATTTTCAAAAGCGCTCCGACGTTTTCGAAGAGGTCTGTTAGTCACTAGCTCGATAGCTAGCCGGGGTTACAGGCTCACTAGAACCCGTGAGAACACCGGACTCCCCACAAATTGTTTTCAAACCCACCGCTGTCTTTCACTACTCAGGTTAAATATATATAAGTCACTTAGATAACTTAAAAATGTTATTGTTTGGCTTTTTTTTTTTTTTAGTATTTTATTTGTTCCTGAGTAAATCGGTTTGGCTGAGATTAAAGTTATAGTTTTTACACAGCTGAATAAATGTCAAGCAGACAGCTGATTATCAGAAGTGTGAGATGCTGGAGAATTTACTCCGGTGTCCTGTTATATTTTAGATAGCAAGGAGTTTATTAAACTTCACCGAAACAATCTGCAAATGTCATTAAAATTTAATAAACTATCATCTTGTCTTTATTTTAAAGACAAGATGCTGTAAGCTTAAAGCTGTATATTTGAATATTTGACATTAAAGATCGCCACCAAATCTTTATAGAAATGATTACAGTAATTCACTGCATTTTGTTCTTTAATGTGTTTTAATCCTTGTGATTATTTGTTCCTGTAGTTGATGAAATGTACTAAATGCAGTTTGAGCTTAGCTACAGATATGCTTCAATGACTGACTCCTCTCATTCTCTTTTTTTCACAATAGGTGCCAGTGATGTCCAAATCTTAGACACAGACTAAACCTTGCATCCATCATGGAGAAGAAGCCAGGCATGATGCAGCATCTCCGGCAGAAGATGCTGCCACATTTCAAGCGGGGCAAGGATCCCTTAAACAAGTTGGCTGTCCAGCTTGACCACAATCGGATGAGCTCCTCCGTTCCTGACGTAAGGAACGTGAAGCAGGATTACCCCCACGTCTCCTCCAGAGTGCCTTTTCAGCAGTACAATAGTCCCAGTTATAGCGATCCTTCCACACCGCTTGACAGGCCTCCTACGGGTCCTGTAGGAGGTGGGAGGAGTGTAAACCTTAGAGCAGGTAGTGGAAGAATAGGGAGGAGTGAAAACAGACTGAGCGTGCCTACAAACTGCACAAACCGTTCTTCTTCACAGGAATCATTTAACAGTCTTTGTGGAGAAGAGACATCTTCCCGGGAGACACACCAACCTGGACGAGGCATGGAGCCCGAGGAACTTGCACTACCAGAGATGATGACTGTTTACACTCCAGACAGTGCAGCTGTGGATGATTCCCTGGACAGCTCGCAGGTAAAGAAAATACTTTTGAAATAACCTAGCAGATTGGGCATCTCCACATACGGAATATTCATATAATGTTTCACATAAGGATTGAACCTTCTGGGACACTAGCACTGACGACTTGCATTTTTATTTTAAATATTCACTCATATTTTGACTTTGTAGTTCCTGTTATATCTAATACTTTGACACCAAAATTAACTGACAAGTCAGCATTTTTTTCCCCCCTGCAACACACAGTAAAAAAAACATGTTGTACATTGGCGGGGTTGAGGTATCAGGTGTATTTACACTTGACTTGCAAAGTTTAACTTGGAAGAGCTGGATATGGTTGCAAATCGAGGTCCATCCTAAATCAATAGTCTACAGTAGAACTGTGCAAACACTGCTTCTGGTGGATTCACGTCTTTGTTAAAATGACAAGGATGTAGGCTGTGAGTGCCAAACAGAGTCACATTTAAAACTATTGTTTGTTGTTTTGTTTTTTCTTTTCTTCTTGAAGTTAAGAGACAAGATCGATTAGATTTAACCAATTATTTTATAAATTGTCTTCCACATTAAATGTTTTTGTTTGCTTGCTTTTTGGGACAAGTGTAAATAAGTGTATTTTATAGTATGAACTACCCATCTTGCTACACATTCCTGTTTATTGCTCCAATGATTTCATATTAAAAGAGATTTGCCCTAATTGATAGAAGTTACATTTGTTCAAGTTATAAATCTTTCTCAGACTGAGGCCTTTACACACTGCGTAAAATTTAAGCGAATATTTTGTGTTCATTTTAAAATATTTTTTGAACTTTGACTCATTTACACCAACCGTGTAGTTTCACAGGGCAAAACTGGCACACCAGTACCGAATACACAATTTTATCCCAGCTAAACTCCCGTTCAGTGGTCTCCTCGCAATGACTTTTGTGCCTCCTCAGATGTGGTCTTAACTCTACCAACAAGACCTCAAACTGACATCCTGAAATATATATGAAAGCATTGGAAACCCTGAAATTCTCCTTGCTGTTGCCTTCTTGTGAGAATCGCCTAACTACTCAAAACAAACATACACCATAATCCGGTCTTGTGATGATGTGATGAATCCTGCTTCCGGGCCCAAACTACTCTGCGTTTAAGAAGGCTGTTGTGTTTTTAACATGTTTTAATGCTTTGCATCTTGTTCTATTAAATCTCAACAATCCCCTAAAAACAGTCAGTGATAACTGTTGGCCTCTGGGTTTTATTACCACTAATCATTTTAAAGCTCAGTTTTTAAAACCTTACGCTGTAACTACAGCCCAGGCAGTATATTAATGACTAACCTCATATTGTGGATGGATTATCTCAGTTGTTCTCCTGACTGTAGTTTGGTCCATTTGCATCCTGCCATGCGATTGCATTTGTTCCTAACCATCGGGAACCCTCACGTTAACTTTTATCAAGTGGAAAAATGTTAGCGTTCATCCTCCTGCTTCACTGTTTATATTTTGCTAACATAGCAAAACTAGCTGTGTTACTAGTAATCACATTATATACCAGCTAGCCAAACTTCAGTAACCCTACAAAACCTCACTGCTGTTTACTTTCCTGGCTTAATTTATGTCAGAAGTAGTAACAGAGCTGTACGTCTTAATTTGTTTCAGAGATCCCTCAGTCAGAACATGCTATTTTATATTAGATGGAAACTAGTGAGCTAACTTCTAACTCTGTTAAATTTCATAAATTCTGTTTTCATGGATGCCTGGATGTTAAACTTAATTTTCACACCTGGTAGAGCAGCAACACTGATCATTTTATTACAGATGAAAGAATTTAGACAGTTATTCAACTCTCAGTGATGCTGCAGTGATTGTTTGACTTGGGGACCTGCAGCATAGTTTGGGCCCAAACGCAGCTAATGACGTCAGACCTAAAGACTGGATACCCCTTCCACCAACCTTTACATCTGGCACATTGCAGTCAAGTACTGTTGTACTGGCAACCGCCAAACACGGGACAAACATGTAATTTGTCACGCTACAGAACACTTCTGCACTGAGTCTTTGCTCCACAGCATCCAGTGCTTTGCATTGCATTTCTTGATGTAAGGTGTGGATGCAGCTGCTTGGCCATGGAAACGTATTCCATAAAGCTCTCTGTGCAGTGTTCTTGAGCTAAGGCCACATGAGGTTTGGAGGTCTGTAGCGATGGACTCTGCAGAAAGTTGGCACACTGTGTTCCTCAACATTTGCTGACCTGGCTCTGAGATTTTATGTACTGTACCAGTTTGTGGCTGAAATGCTGTCGTTCCCAGGCACTTCCACTTTGTCATAATACCACCAACTGAAGTGAATGATTTTAAGGATCTGGATTGATATTAGTTCATATATATTACTGTGGCTTTATTTTGTGTTTTATCTCAGATGTGTAATTATAATCAGGATAAACACTACAGAAGGAGACTATTGGCTGTTTTTATTGCCAATTAAAAATGTCACTTATACATCTGGCACCTGGTGTCAGATAGAATCAGTTGTAAACCTCATCTCCTTCCTCATTCCATTCTCTGTTAAAATGACCCGGAGGTGGATTTTTGATCTACGTCTCTCAAGTACAGCTGCTACTCACATTTCTAGCATAACAGTGATGTGTAAATAATAGAGCTGCACGATTAATCGTTAGAAAATCGCGATCTCGATTCATACTTATGTGCGATCTCATTTCCAAATGACAACGATTTTTTAAAAAAAAAAAAAAAAAAGAGAGAGACGACGATTGTACCTCATTTTGATCTGGGACGTAATCTGCATGAAAACAAGCGCTCACTCTTCCTGCTCAACAAATGACAAGGGCGGAGCCTTATACCACGTGATACAGAAGCTGTGCCGTGTGATGCTAAAATTCAACCACCCAAACATCAATAACAGGAACCTTATACAGCGCTTCCCTATACCCGTCGAACTCCCGCAGGCACAAAGAAATTACGGAGGCTATTACTTATCACCTGACCAAAGATATGGCTCCCATCAACACTGTGCAAAACGAGGGATTTAGGGAAATGATCAACACCCTAGACAAACGCTACACAATGCCGTCCCGCAACTATTTTTCTATTGTTGCACTACCTGCTCTATACACGCAGCGTCCAGCAACGGTGGAGACGGAATTTCAAGCAGTACAACATTTTGCGGCAACAACAAAACGTGAGACATTTGTTGTTTTTTATGTTTATTTATTGTTTTTATGTTCAGTCTCAACTGTTACGAAGTTGATGTGCAGTTAATAAGTGCAATAAATATTTATACTGGAAAAGAAAATCGTGAGAGAATCGTGATCTCAATTCTAAGCCAAAAAATCGTGCAGCCCTAGTAAATAACATTGTATGTATTGAAGATAACCCTTTACAGCAAAATGAACATGTCAGGCTTTGCATTCTTCTCGTAATCAAGGGCAGGCTTTGTTTGTCAGATCATGGTTAGAATGACTTACAACAGGTTTTGTGTAGATTGCATGCTTTACATGACATGACGCACAAATGCAAGCTGACTTGAAATTCCGAATGTTTAATTTTCATTTGAACAATAACATTGGGCGTAGCCTTGGCTTTATTTTCTTTGTCATGCAAAGTGGACACCAATGAATGTGCAAGCAGATTAATGCTGTAGTTCTTGTTGACATGCAGAGGACGACCCAGACAACTAGGAAGTCATAGCCTCTTTTCACAGCTTTGACAGGCTTGTTTGCTACACAGGCTAAATGAATTACTCTTGTAGAAGTTCATAGGCTACTAAATACCTTTTTATTCAATGGTTTAAGCAACAAATAAAGTAAAAATTCATTGTGAATCATGTTCATTTTGACTTCTTTCCACTAAGCTTTTAATATACTTTCTTCCTGGTTTCACTATCAGTGGTTTAGACAAGTGTGGTTAGAGAGGGCAGCAGGACAGGTGTATAACATGTTGGCTGACAGTTTTTTACACACACACACACACACACACACACACACACACACACACACACACACACACCCACCCCTAAAAAGAGCGCTATAACCAACGTAACCCTGATACTAAAACCACATTTTGAGCCTCAAAATGCCCTTCAAACTCGTGGGGACGGGCATTTTGTCCCCATAAGTGACTGTTGGTCCCCACAAGTATAGTAGCATGCCAATTTTCTGTCCTCACAAAGAGTCTAAACATGTGTGTATGTGTGTGTGGTGTGTGGGCTGAGGGGGCAAAATATAATAATAGACAAATAAAGGTATGGTAATCTTTGAATAATGCGATACCAACATCAACATGTTGTGAAACTTTTAAGTAAGTAACAGGAAATGACCTAAAAAATCATCACCCAGTAAAATGTTTCATCTTCCTGTTGGTGTTGTAGTAACATATCAGTGTTTTTGTTTTGTTTTTTGTTTTTTGTTTTTTATAGATGCTCTTTATATTTATCTGATTGACTGAGGTGATATTTGTAGTTTCCGCCAGTGGGATTTTGATTTTGAATCTTTACGCTTTGTAGTTTGCAGCGCAGGATGCTGATCTTTAGAACCTGACCATTTTCTCAGCAGGCAGATATTATCTGCTGATATTAGCCATTTGGTGGTCTGTTGTGTGAGGAAAATATAAGAACTGATTATTAACTGATTAATTCAAGATGGAATTAATTGAAATGGAAGAAACACCCTTCAACTACATTATGAGAGTGGCTGTTGCATAGTTTGTCCATCAGAGGGTGCTCTGCAACCTCCCTTTTTGCAACACATGGTTGATACACCACAACAAAACAACTAGCTGATTGAGATCTGAGTCAGGTGTAAGCGTAAATGAATAACAGCACATAAGAAACATTAAGAAATCTGTGCTTTTTTGTGTTTAAACCTCAACTGGCTTTACATTTTGATTGCTATTAAGCATTCAAGGCTAATGCAGCCTTGAATTCTGATTAAGCACAAGCTGATACATGCTGATATGAACATATTACAAAGCCCATATTTCAACTAGCACATTTATTTCTATGTCTGCTGGTTATAAATGGATTTGCATTAAGTTTTACCAGAGGTGGGTTTTGCCTGGATATGATCAACAGCTAAGGTCTACCTGTATCTGGATCAGGATCTGATGTAAGAAAACTCATATAAGAAAAATAGAAGAAATGAGAGACCCGCTGTCTTTCTTAGTCATCTTATTTTCCGTCATCACTGAGGTTTCAGATCAGTCAAAAAAACTGTTTTGAATTTGGTGAAAGCAACAATGCACAGTGTGAAAACTAACAGTTTGTTTTCTCAGGGCCCCCAGGGTGGTTTTAAAACCACATCAAAGAATATCAAGAATAGTAAAGTGCTTTTTATTTTAATTCTTGTCATGTCCCATTGTGCAACTGTTGTTGTCAACTGAACACTTCCTCATAGCTGTATAAATAGTCCATAGACTTACAAAAAAAACTCTGGGAGATTATCTTTAATTGTATAGAAACTATAATGAATACATCTGAATACAGCAATCTATATTTGAATTCATAAAGAAAGGAGTGGTATGTATGGCAAAATACCTTATGTTAGGTAAACAGTTACAGTGTTTGCAGTTACTCTGAAACCCAAAGAAGAGAAGCAAATTAGGGGAAAAAAGTGGAACTTGCCTAGTAGATGTTTTTTTGGTTACCTCTGTTCAGTCCCCAGGACACAGGAATTTTTAATAAATGCTCAGAGGATTTGTGCTGGTGGTAGAAATACCAAGGAGAGGGCAGTTCTGAGCCTTTAGCTTTAGCTGAGTGAAGCTTTACATCAACAGGAATTTTACATGTTTTGAAAGTCTTTGTCATGTGTCACATGGTTTAAAAAAATATTCATCTTTGTCTCTGCAGTATGATAACGATTACAGCAGTCACATAAAGGAAGGGGACCACCAAAATGTAAGTGCTACTGCCTAATTTGTAGTTTGTAAGATGATTTTTGTTGTTGACTGGTTAATATGCAAATCAGCTTTAGGCACGACAGGAGAAAAGGGCTGCGTCTGACAGTTTTATCCTAAGTTGCATCTTTGTGGTTGTAGAATTTTGCAACGGATTGTCCCTTTCATGTCTCTATGCTGGTGGTTTTCAGCATTATGCCATGCCAACAGCAGTGTGGGTCTTTGGCCGACGCGTGGTTATATCAACGTTTAATTCCAGATTATTGTGCTCTGTTTAGAATGAGATAGAACAGTAGGCTATTTGTGGTTCAGCATCCAGTGTGTGTTGTCCATCTTTTGTAGCCGGTCAGGGTTAGGAAGCTGAGCTGGGGTGATTCCAGGGTACTGGGGTTTATTCGGTGAAAGATTCATGGCTTGCTGGAAAGGCTTAATAGTGATTAAATAATCCACTGCCTAGACGAGAAGCATAAAACTGCACAGAATACAATCTTTTAAAACCTGTGAGTATACTTTGTTTAGTTTTTTTAAATTAAACTTGTATAAATGTGACAAAAATAATACAACCCAAACAGTAAAGAATTAGGAAAGCTGTATTAGAGTCTCGTCAAATTCCTGCACGTGAACAACAGTCTGACTTGAAATCAGTGCATGAAAGTAAAATGAAAGAAGTCCTGTGATAATTTTGTTGTTAAAGATTAAAAAGTTATTCTTCACATAAATAGAGGTGGAGCTATTATACTGTGGTTAATAGCATTACTGGTAATAAATTTGAAGTTTAAATATTAATGGTGCAGTGACCCATAATAAAGGCAAAAAACTGTTTTCTGATCAGATACTTCCTGATTAAAAAGCTGCCCAGTTTGTGCGGAAGTAGATGGGGCACTTTGGTAATACTACTAGTAGTAAAGTAATAATCTTGTTTTTCTGTTCAGTATGAGATGGACAATGAGGCTGTGAACATGTCTGAGAGTGCCAGAGATTCCCAGAGGTCCTACCTGCTCACCGTTAACTTAAAGGAAGGACACAACTTGGTCATCAGGGACCGCTGTGGTAAGGAGCTCATATCGGCACTACTACAACTCAGCTTTTTGTTCCAGATTATTGTGATGTACAGCAACACTAGCATTAAAATACACAGTCTGAGAAAAACAGAAGATCAACAGGCACTGCTGTGATGCTGATTATCATCCAGGAAACGGGATCAGTGCAGAAGCAAGTAATACTTCATCACAGTGGAAAATGAGAAGTGTGGCAGTGGAATCCTATTCAACTGATGAAACAAAATGCCTTTACCCTCCCACCCGAGGATCATTGTCTGACTAGAGCTTCATCATTTTAACTTCCCCAAATTTTCCTCTGCATATGATTACCTTACTTGAAAGTTCAGTGTGCTGTAAATGCAAAGATGCAGTTACCTGTTGGTGTATGTTTATACCTTAGAGCTACACGCCTACTTCTTTTTTTTTTTTTTTTTTTTTTCTGAAGCTGTGGCTTAATTCTGACTAGATCTTACAATGACATGCATCACGTATTTTCTTGTGTATGCCTGTGGCAATGAGTAAGTGTTACTATTGTTATTGCTTTGTCATCTTCTCATACTGAGAAACGTATCTGAGTTGACTTGCTAAATCTCTTAAACTTTATGAATTATAATTCCCGTAAACGTGGACAGATGCTTGGGCCTACAAAAGGGAAAAAAACCAAAAACGAAACCCTCCGCCATTCCTCATAGTCTCTTTTTTTTCCTCCCTGTATGTGTCAGTGTTGACTCGTGTGTTTGGCCTTGACTTGATAAGGACAACCAGGAATGTCTGTTTTGATTACACGCAGTGTTATTGACTCCAGGGACACAAAAGACAGCTGAGTGTCAGGTTAGATGTGAAGCTCTTGTAGCAACACGAGCAGGATTCCTTGCAGCGGTTTAGAACCTGTCTGAGCCACACCCAGCATTCAGTACAGAAAGACTTTCACTCTTGGATTAGATTTTCCTCTTGAGTGTGCCTGCATGTTGATACAACCAGACTGTAGGTAAAGATAAGATGGAAAATAAAGAGGATGACAAGAGGCAAGCGGATTTGGTTTCACCACATTGTTAAGACCACATGGTGGTTTAAAAGCATGAACAAGCTTTTATTTTTTTCTTTTTGATCAGGATTATACATGCAGCAGTCATAGCACGCGGTGGCAGCTGTTTTGCTAATGACTTGTTGTGTGAAGGGTCTATAAAGCCTATTCTAATAGCAACACCACAAAGAATCGGGCAAGCTCATGTAATGTAACGAAACCGATCAGTCTAAGCTCCTCATGAAGTTTAAGCTATGATCACAGCTGTGTTTGGTAGACTGCTGCCCTCACCTGGTTGATTGAGAGACTATTCAAAAGATACACCTCCTACTTCCTTTACTCTGAAGTGAAAATGATACAAAACAGCAACAGAAAGTGAGATTTAGAAGTTTCAAAAGTGATTCCATGTTGAATTTGTAGTGTTAATCTTTGGGCCTGCCTATATATGTTAGTGTTTAAAAGAAACTCGCACAAAACCTGCAAAAGTGATGTTTTCAGTTGCAGTTAGTTTTCACGCAGGAAGCTGAAATGTGATTGGCTATTGTTTCAGGAAGTTGTGGTTACATCGGTTGGGACCACATCCTCCGTACAAAAATGAGAGATCACACAGAGCAGGTCAGACCTTCTACGTAATAGGGCAAACCGGTACATTTACATAGAAGTTGAAAAACAATGGAGTCAGTGTTATTTAGAAGTAAATGTCAAGTTGTCAAGTATTTATTAAAGACAGTCATGATGACAACGCTGCTTTTGAAAGATGGAAAAGAGAAGTAGCAATAATCATGCTTTGTGTTCTGAAATAACATGTCCTACAACTCATGATGAATATTATAATGTTACTAAGTAGGATCATGTCATTTTAGTTTATTAAACATTATGGACTTTATTTCACTCAGAGGTAACAGCTGTAGCATAGGCTACATGGCCTGCAGCATGTTTAATATTCACAAGGATCTAGGTAACTTCTTATTTAGGTGTGTTGCCATGCTAACCTAGGCTGCAGACCTAACATACACAGAGCAGGTTGGGTTCAAGATTAAAGATCATTAAGGGAAAAAAATCCCCAGTTACTGACCAGTTCTCTGAAAATAGTGTCACCATTCCTGGAAAATCAGTCAGGCTCGTCTGTGCAGATATCAGGAGGGTCTTTTTTTTTTTCCCCCCCTTTATCTTTCCTTTTGTGAGGATTATTAATAAAGAGAATTTTAGATGAATTATAGTTTTGTAATAGTCATAAGTCTGTTAACTTCCACAGTCAGCATTTTTTGCTTGCTTTTCTTCCTGTCTTCAAATAGGTTAAACTTTATAGATTTGGTTGGCATTTTTCAGTCTTATTGACCAAAATCTTTAAAGTACTCACACAGTTCTCACATACTTATACAGAGATTCTAATACTAAATTACTATAGAGTGCTTTTGCTCTCACATTGCAGATTTCTCTGCAGCACGTGTTGCTTTCAGTCTGTATTATGTGTTTAAGATCTCCGTATATGTCTGGGGTCATAATTTTGTGCTCCTTTGTAAAATCAGCCACTCTGCTAACAGTGCATGATTCCACCCCTTTGTGTGAGAGTTCTCATAGCCTGACTGGGAAACCCTGGGTTAATTTGGTGTGTTGTTAAAAGCGATGGCTGATTTTAGTGAATCTAGATAATGAATAAATACCCTACTTATATTTATCTTGCTTCATATTACAGGGCCCTGATGATGTCATTCCAAAAAGTATGTTTGTTTGTTTATTTGTTTGTTTGTTTGTTTTCTATTTACTGGTTTGCAATATTCATTCTCAGGTACCAGCGACCCCTACGTCAAATTCAAATTGGATGGAAAAACATTCTACAAAAGTAAAGTGGTTTATAAAAACCTCAACCCTGTGTGGAATGAGTCCTTCTCTTTGCCCATTAAGGATCTGAATCAGAAGCTTTACATCAAGGTAACTTTTTTTTTTTTTAAATTTGATGGTCAGTTTAATAAAGGTCATGTCAACAGTGTGGGAAATAATGAATGTGAAAGTTTTAATGAGCAGCTTTAACACTGAGAGTCATAGTCTGTTGTGGAAATGTGCATGTTTTCTATCCTTCGTTATGTAGTTAGGGTGACATTTTTTTTTGTCAAAGTATTATGAAAATCAATGTATGATTAGTATCTGTGCACCTTTCTAAATCCAACAAAACGGCTGTTATCACTCTGTATGAGTTTTCAAAGATACTGCAGTAGGACCGTCAGCACAGTTCTCCTTACATGAACTGTCTTGTGTTAAAGGACTGTTGATGTTTGATATACAGGTGTATGACCGTGACCTTACAACTGATGACTTTATGGGTGCTGCAAGTGTCCGTCTGAGTGATCTGGAGATGGACAAGTGAGTATGGTGGAAGTGCTTGAAGCAGCTGGACAGAGCTCTGTTGAGGTGTAGCATGTAAATTATAGTGATCCTGGAATAATAAAATTGGAAAAATAATACTGAACAAATCACCAGTTTTCTCAATGAATATATTTCTATGGTAAATGGTAAATGGCCTGCATTTGTATAGCGCTTTTCTAGTCCCTAAGGACCCCAAAGCGCTTCACACTACATTCAGTCATTCACCCATTCACACACACATTCACATACTGGCGATGGCAAGCTACATTGTAGCCACAGCTGCCCTGGGGCGCACTGACAGAGGCACTATGCAATGAAATTCTCACTAGATGTTGGCAAAGATGCATCTAATCCACACAAGCAAAGAAATCAAACCATAGATGTCCATAAATGATGTGTTTCTAATGAGAAATGACACAGGGAAAAAGTACACTTGAACACCTGAAGGAGGCTCAAAAACCTTTGCAACCTTGACCAGTATGCACGCTCATTACCTCCATTTCTGAAGAAAACATATTTTGAAGCATGTTTAAAGTTTACTGATCAACATTTAGACAAGGCTGTGAACATACCAGCAGTAAAATTTGAAGGTGAGAACATCATGGTGTGGGGCTGTTTTCAGCATACGGCACTGGAACGCTTCATGTAATTGAAGGAAGGATGAATGGAAAATTGTACAGAAACATTCTTAATTACAAATCTGTAAAATCTACCAGGAAGATGAAGAAGAAACGAGGGTGAATGTTTCAGCAAGACAATGATCCCAAACACACAGACATGGAAACTTTCAGTTGGTTTCAGAGAAAGAAAATACAGCTGCTAGAATGGCCCTGCCAGTCTCCTGACCTGAATCTAACTGAAAATTTGTTGAAAGAACTGAAGCTCAAAGTTTACAGAAGGGGCCCAGGGAACCTTCAGGATTTGAAGGCTGTTTGTGTGGATGAATGAGCCAAAATCACATCTGCGGATGGATGTAACTAGTTTCTCCATACAGGAGGCTTCATAAAGCTGTCGTCACCAACAAAGGCTTTTGTTTAAAGTCTTAAATAAATTTCAGGTTATTGAGAATCTGTTGAGAATTTCATTTCAATAGCACCTTTATATGTACCTACTTATAAAATTGGTGATGTGTTCAATACTTACTTTACTTCAGTATGTGAAATAAACTATTTCCAGGCACTGCATTGGCTCAACCCATTTATGGGTTTGGCAACGCAGCTGCATTTAGCTTATGAGTGTTGAACTTTACTTTCAAAGCATTTGCCCATTAATTATTAACATTGCAGTGGCTGCTTTTACTGTAGAATTTATTTTTAGAATGTGTAGTGTGTCTGTAATGTGGGAACAGTTTGGGATTATAGTGTGGGTGCTTTTCCACATTTCTACACTCCTCTTTGAACCTGAAATAAATTACCTTAATGAAAGTAACCTCCAAGAAATTGTCACCAAGTTATCAAATGCCTCGTTATTCTATCTAGCTCAGTTCTATACCAGTTTGTGCACACACAACCACTCCCACTTATGTTTATGGCCTTACAGTGAGTAACTGAGTCCAGGTGCATCTAAGACAAAGCTGCAGTGAGTTCAGTCTGTGCCCTTGTGTAGCTCGGCTTGCCAGTACAAGTGTTAATTTGACCTGAGACCTTTGCGTTACCCCAGTGTTAATTAAACACCTCTCTTGTCCTTTGTCAGCAATTTAAATATGACGAAGTAAAATTAATTGTGTTGCTGTGGTATCATATTGCTCTAAGCCTTAGTATTTAATGCAGTTTTGCTCTGCATATCTTTTAAACATACTTTTTGACAATTATTGCATAGAATACATTTTCTCTAGTTCATCTCCTCAGTGATCTGATGCTTATATTTTTACATCCTGTGGTGCTTGTTCTGAATAAATTCAAAGGCATGCTCGATGGCACATGACTGCCCATCTCTCATCAAAAACCCGCTTTGTTTTCAGGGTCAATGAGATGTCTTTCCGCCTGGATGATCCAAACAGCCTGGAGGAGGACATGGGCGTCGTATTGGTGGACTTGAGTCTGTCACTCAGAAATGGAGACAGCAAAAGAAGCAATGTATATCAAGCTCCCTCATGTATTTGCTCCATGCTTTCAAGCAGAAGGCAGACTTGTCGTGCATTGCATTTATCGTATGTCTGTGTTTGTGTCTCTGTTTCTGTGTAAAGCCTACTAACTAGTGTCATTTTGTTTTGCACCTAAAATGCATGCTCCTGGCGGCAGAAATGGCACCAAAAACGAACACGAAGTAGTAGGGTAAGGCATGGTGGCTGGAACACATAGGAAAGACTTTATGGACCCTTCATTCTAATCAGTATTATACAGATATCTGCCAAATATAAAAAGGAGAAAAACAAATGAGGCCCATTGGTCTGGTGAATTTTTTTTCACACCATGTTCAGGTTTCAGGATTTTTCTAATTCAGCTCAAATTGGTAACAAAAGGTAATGTAACAAAAATTCTGACAGTAGTTCCTTTAGTTTTGGCAGTTATCTGTGCCTCAGTTGATTCCACAAGAGGGCAGCAAATCATTTTATTTCACAAATCAGGGCACAGTATCTTGAAGAAATTTAACAGATGTACTCAGTGGTTTGAAGACTAAACTCTTTCAGTAGTTGTTAGTCAGTGTTTCCTTAATTAACTGACTGGACATATTCCTATTTGGTACTAACCTATATACAAATCAGGGTAAATTAATTGTGTCAATATTTTCAGTGATAATTATAAAAGGATCCCAAATACAGAAGATTCCTGATCCCAGTTAACTTGATAGCAGCAGACCAGCTAAAATGAATATAGTTTGTACGCTGTCGCTTTCACTCAATGTACAACATATGCATTAAAAATTAAATAAACCTAAATTCTTATTTTTAGCCCAGACCTGACAGGCTATAGTGGAAGTCCCATAACAAGGTCACACTTATTATGGCACCTTATTATCCTATGATGATAACCATAGGATTGTTCCAAGTAAATAAAATAAAAATAAAATCCTGTGATCACCTTTGACCATTATCATAAAAAAGCACAGATGCTTACCAGCATTTCCCAGTAACAAGTCCGGCTGTTGTGTTCTGCCTGCTCACTGATGAGGTATTTGACTCACAGAGTTTAGTTGGGGAATGCATGCTTTTTTTTGTCTGCCACGCTATTGTCTGCAGGTCCGTTCTATGTACTGCATGAAGCGATGCTACGCAAGATTAGACAGCTATACACGTGGCAACATTGCACATTCTCAGGATTAGTTAGAAAAGCTTTTGACTGTGTCTGCATGCCTATAAGTTTGAAGTTGTTTTCATTGTTGAACAGATGTACCTACTGTGTGCATGTGCTTCAAATTCTTCTTGTAGTCTGCCAACTGCATGCTGTGCAGCTGTTAATTAAAAAAGCGTTTTCTGCATGTGTCATTACAAAGTTGGCTTGATCTGCAGTGATTGAATCTGGCTTAAAGTTATCTCAGGGGTACACTGTGTCTCTATATAAACTCAACTAATTATCTTAAAACATGGCTTCCAATTATACATGAAGGCTTTACCTAATCTCTGAGAATGTTTCATTTACCTGTCTTCCATGGACAATTGTTATGTCTCAAACATGGTGGTGGAACTGCAGGGAACTGAATTTTGATTTTTTTTTTTTAAATTTAATATTTTTTTGTATCCTTTAAAAAAAGCTGAAATTGAATGTATTGATTTATTTTTTTAAATTTAAAGCATTACCTCTCATTCCTCTCATTATTATTATTATTTTTTTGTATCCCTACTTTTGCAGGCTGGAAAGCATTCTCAGCCTATTAGTTTGTCAGAAGAGCTGAAGAAGAGTCAGCTGTGGACAACTGTTTTGTTGGTGACTCTGGTTGAGGGTAAGAAGCTGCCGGTGGACAGTCAGGCAGGTCAGTTCTCCGTTCTCTTCAAACTGGGAGAGCAGCGATACAAAAGCAAGGTATATCTCAACAGAAGACTGTTGCTCTTAATTTTTTCCTCTTCCTAATGTGTCTTTGTGATTCCTAACCCTGTTCCTTTTTCCCTTTTTGTAATTTAAAGTGTGTAGATTTTTTATGTTAGCCTAACCTCAGCTGATTTCCAGTATTCACAGTGACTTATATTGTATTTATTCATTTATTTAGTTGTTGTTCTCTTCATTTTGCTCTTTTTTTTGGGGGTGGGGGGGTGAGTATTCCACGTCATTCTCGATAGGTGTGCCCGTAGAACTAAAAGAAAATAAATCAATCTGATGTTAGTTTCAGGTAACACTCCAACTGTTATATATTGCTCTTTGCTCTGGATAAAATGCCCCCTGATGATGACATGAGTTACTTTGGCTTGGACACTTTCTTATTTCTTAATTTAAAACCCACAAAATCAAATGAAATTTGAAAAGTGAATTTTCAAGCTAAATGATGCTAACAAGCTGCATTATGTGTACTTAAATTTAAGTCTATTCTGTTTTCAACTTAAGGAAATCATTTGCTCAAATAATCATTTAAAATATGACTAGATGTGGAGGTTAAGCCTTAGTAATCTTTTTCTGAAAGATGCATGGGGTTGGTTATTCTTTGTTCTTGTTTTCATGTCAGCTTAAAATGTATCTTCAATCTATAGGATTATTAGGCCCAAATCACTTTAAAGTGCTTTTATTAAAATATACATTTGCAGAAAGGCCACATGAGGTTAATGCCATTGCACTGAAAATGGACTTTCAAAAGTCATAAAAAAATCCAAATATTGATGTAATAGCTGAATCGGTAAACAGATTTGCATTTCAAATTGATTTATAGTTTATGGTGCATATTCCAGAAGATTTTATATTTTTCAAAGGTCTTAGGCTCTTTAACAAAAAAGCATTTGTCTTAGTGTTATTTTATAGTGTGTCTAGTGATGAACAGAATTATCACATTTTAATTTTCCCAACATTCCTGTTAAATAAAATGCTGGCAGACTAGTTTTCACTTATAAAATCTAGAAACATTTGTAAATCCCACTGCATTATTAAACAATCACCTAAAGGCGATTCTTATGAATAGCAGCGTAAATGTGGGATTAACTAAAGTCATTATCTGCAGAGGCAGGGTAAAACGGGGTGAGGGACAGCACAGCTAAAAAGATGACATTGCTAGAATCTAAAAACATCACACATTTGCTTTAGTGCAAAATCCAAGTGACAGGTCAGTTATCTTCTGCCATTAAGATATTTCAAAGTTATTTCAAATATCTGCTGTTATGCAGAAGCAAAAAGACCCAGGCAATACTGAGGGCTAGTTTCCAGCAGTGCCAGGAAAAGAGCAAAAAAATGATCAGGGGGGTCTTGTTAAACCCATTTGCAGACTAGAAAGTACTTGTCAGAAGTAAGTGTTGATGGAAAACTTTCCTTGGTTCAATGTATGAGCAAAGGCTAGCAAATTGGGAATGTACAGAAAAACAAGGACCGGGGAGAAAAGAAGGTAACAAATGTTCCAAACCTGGAGCATTTGGGAGGGAGTTGCCTTTGGAGAAAGGTCGGCGATGGCTCTGGGTGTCTGCAGGCAATAGAGATGCATGGCAGAGGTTCTTATAGGTTTGATTTTCCACAGATGGGTCTGAGGACTTGGTTATTAATAGTGGTCTCCTTAGTCCTAGCAAGTACAGACAGAATTTTATCCATGACTGAATACCATCAAGGAGACTTTTGATTGGTCCAGAATTTGTTGTGCAGCGTGACTATGAGCGCAAATATACAGCCAGAGTCAGAATTATCTTCAGCCACAAAAACATGGAGTCCTGAAACAGATGGTGTGCCCCCTGATCTCACAGTCGTCTGGGATTATTGTACATGGAAAAAACAAATGAGACAGTCTACATTTCTTTTGTTTGCTGCTCTTTACGCAAATGAGGGTAACTAATAAATAATTATTGTTCAAAGTAACCTCACTTTGTAAAACTTAGTATTTCATTGAGCATTTTTGGTTTCCATTAACTGATACTGGGTTTATCAGAATCGGAATCAGAATACTTGATTAATCCCGAAGGAAAATGGGGAAAATAGGCAATACAAAGATGCCTTTGGTAGTGCAAATGTTAAGCCTAACCCTATAATCTTTCATGTGACCATAGATCACATGGGGGAAAAAACCACAAAGCCATGAAAAAAGAAACGGGCCTAGAAGGGATCTAAAATGGTTTTGCAGCGTGTAATATGACATGGCCGGTGTCTGCTGCATCATCCAGCTCTCCTGGCAGCTGGATGATGTCTGGCGCTGATGCTCACTTTTATGCGCTGTTGGCTGCGTACTGTCATCGATGGTTATTTCGCGATCGTGCAACATCATGCATTACACATCAAAGCAGCGTGATAACGAGCAGCATTGCTGATTTTCTTTTCCTTGTCTTATATCCAGGTGCAAAGTGACGGTAATTATCTGTTCTCCTGTCCATCTCCTAATGTGAGATGGAAATTTCTGATGTGTCTATCAGAAGCTGCTAAACCCCAAAACTAGTCTGTTTAGAAAAGAAAAACAATTAAAGTTAACATCTGGACATGATGCAGATACTTTTTTGAATTTTAAATAAAGGCCAGCTGGAAATCTACAAACACGTCAGTCAAGTCTGTGTTTTGAAGACTTTGCAAATACGCTGACTTATATAAGATGTTTCTTCACACTTTAAAGTGAATTTCAGTGTCATTGTTAATTGTTGTGAATTTTTAAAAACAACTTTTAAACAGTTTTCTTTTTTTTTTTGGATTCAGGATCACTGCAAAGTGCCAAATCCTCAGTGGAGAGAGAGGTTCACCTTCAAACAGTTTTTCAACAGTCCAGAATATCTGGAGGTGGAGCTCCGATCCAAGGAAGGACGAAAGGCTGCGGAATCCCTGGGGAAGTGAGTGTGTTCAGCTATTACAGTATTTATTTGTGTGTGCTTGACCTTTAATTAAAATAAAAAGTGGTTTCTGGATTGATTGATTTATTTAAATGAAAGCTCTTTGCATATTTTTTATGTGTGTGTGTTTGATCTGGCCCAAATGTGTGGAACTTGTGTGTGTACAGGCGTTGCGTGAACATGTCAAAAATCCCTTTGGATCAAAGGCAATTGCTAGAAATGGAATATGGGGGAGGACACGTGTGTTGCCTCCTTACGCTGACCACGTGCAGTGGCGTCTCCATCTCCGACCTCTGTGCCGCACCACTCAGTGAACCCCGTGAACTTCAGAACCAGCTGGACAACTATGTCAGTATTTTTGCCGTTTAACTTCTATTTATACTGCACTCTACCACCAACATGTTTAAATATATAAACACTTTAAAATGCATTTTCACTTTGAACAAGCCTATTCTCTGCTCTCAGAATATCATCAGCTGTCATTGGCATCAACTCCACAAGATGTTGTTTGTGTATTGTCTTTTTGCCACCTTAAAACTATCTGGCTGTTTTTCTCCGACCTGAATTGCCTGAGGTGTATATTTATCTATCTGAAGGACTGAACGCTGGTACTGCTGCTACGTGATTGTAAAAGTGTGCTGAAACTACAAAAATCAAATATTGATACATTAGTAACAAAATAAATATAATGGTGTGCTGTTAAACACACATAATTAATGATTTAATTTAAATCATTTCATAAAAAAAGTTCCAGCATTCATGTCATGCAAAAACCTGCTACTTTTTTATTTTGTCAGTTTTAAAAGTAATTGAATCACTTATTTATGAATACATTTCATCTTATCCCCTTCTATTTATTTCTATATTTTCTTATAACATTTCTTTAAGAGAGCTGAGCTCAGTGCCCAACAACACATTTTGAAAACAGGTGGAAAATAATACACAAGTGTAACTGTATGTGTTTACATTTTTTAAAATGTCTAAATTATAATGTAAATATTAAAATAGGAAAAGTCTTTACATTGGGGGAATGATACTAATATAGGTAAAGTAATACAGAAGCAAATTAAAACAAAAGTATTAATGCCACAGTTTACATTTAGGCTAGTATGTGCATTTAATTCTAATATTTTGGTGCATTTTATGCCGTACTTGCTGAATGATTAGCTAATAGCTGGCTGTAGCTCAGGTGGCAGAGCAGGTCAACCACTAATCAGAAGGTTGGTGGTTCGAATCAGAATCAGAATGGGGTTTATTGCCAGATGTTGAGGTTTACAACATTAGGAAATTGCTGCGGTGCTTCAGTGCAAACAATAAGAATTAAAGTGCTATGTAGAAAGAAAGATATGTTCATGAGATATACATGAGATATATACATGAGAATAAGAATTATGAGTGCTACGTAGAAAG